GCCAAGTGTTTTATCCAAAGCCACACAGCTAGTGAAGAACAGGCCCAGGACTCAAGCCCCATCTGTTGAATCCTAGACCACTACTCTCAGGGCCCCATGCCCCTTTGACCCTAATAGCAATGCCCATCTCCATGAGCCCACATGGTCTCTTCCCTTAGCAGCCACCCTCACAATATGAATCACCCCATGAATTGTCCTAGCTTATCTTTATCCAAGATAGTTCATGTGTAGTTATTATTTCAAAACTAGGCAGTTTTATGGAGAAGTCTTAAATCAAAAGGATCTCTCTATGGGAATTGGGCAGGAGACAGCTTTACTGGTTGTGGAGTGGATCAGTTAGGATAGGCTAGGTTATGTTGCAGTAACAAATGACCCCCAAATCACAGGGCTAGCTGAGACTGCGCTCCATATCTGTTCTCTCCGTGGGACCTGGGCTGCTGGAGCTGCCATAATCTGGGACATTGCTTTGGCAGAGGGAAAAGAGAACCTGGCTCTTAAATCTTCTGCTTGGAAGTGACTCATGTCACTTCTGCTCACACTTCATTGACCAAATCAAGTTAATAGTATGATGTCATTGAAGGAAGAAGCAGCATTCTCCTTCAGGGAAGGGGAGTGGACATGCCAGGGAATAATTCAAGTAACAAGGGAAAGGGCTCATGAAAAGGTGCTGCCTTTTGAATACAGTCTCTAAATGTCTGCAGGTTTGATCGCTGATGCATCAATCACCTATTTACAAGGCTGACCCTTGTTTCCTTTCACTTGTATGCAGCAGAATCTTAACAGTAGTTATGAAGATAAATTACCTTTGGCCCTGCTGGGTGGCTCAGTTGGTTGGAGCGCTGTCCTGTACACCAAAAAGGTTGCAGGTTCGATTGCAGGTTATGACACATACCTAGGTTGTAGGTTTGTTCCCCTGTTGGGGCATGTATGGGAGGCAATCCATGGATGCTTCCCTCTTCTCTCTCTCTCTCTCTCTAAAAAAATTTAATAAAAATATCCTCAGGGTGAGAACTTTTTAAAAAATTACCTTTTAGTCCTGACAGGTTTGGCTCAGTGGATAGAGCATCAGCCTGCGGACTGAAGGGTCCCGGATTCCAGTCAAGGGCATGTACCTTGGTTGCAGGCACATCCCCAGTGGGGGGTGTGCAGGAGGCAGCTGATCGATGTTTCTGTCTCATCGATGTTTCTAACTCTCTATCCCTCTCCCTTCCTCTCTGTAAAAAATTAATAAAATATATTTTTTAAAAATTACCTTTTAAAACTATTGAAAAGGTGTCACTTTAGAGCATGTGTTTAAAGGAGAAACTGCTCTCCCCTGCTCCCTTCTCCCTGCAGGTCTGGTGGCACCTTCAAGCCTCAGACACTCCTTGGTCATATTCCCCAGTAACCCAACAACAGCCAAGGGCACGTGGTGGGTATTAACCCAGATCCAGCCACTTGCATGGAAATGCTGCTGATAAATGAAGAGCTTGAGCAACGCAGGGAACAGTGAAGCTGCAAACACTTCTAAACCCCCTTCTCCAATGAAAGGACTGTCTGAGCTCATTTTTGCCCCCTCTGAATTTAAACATCATGTGAACTGTGACTGCCGATGCGGCAAGATGGATTAGCAGAAGGAGCTAAAGAGCTGTGTCACCAAAATGGTTTTTTTCTTTCCCCTTGATTAATGAGAAGGAGGCCAGGCTCGCGTTTGTCTCAGACAGGTCACGTTGAAGAAATGTTAATGATGTCCACAGGTGATGGATTTTCTCACACCTTCATTCACTGAACCGTGCCAGACCTATCAAGCCCCATGGAGAGTGGAGGGGAGAGCTGCAGGAGCAATGCCCTCATAATAAACTTGCTGAGATGCCACCATGTAATGGGGTGGTGGGCATGCATGAGGGCACAGTGCAACAGTCGGAAGCCATTGCAACTGGTGCTTATTGAAACAGATCTAGCCCACAGGAATGTGTGTGTGTGTTAAGCTCATCTATAGTTCTTTGTGTGTGTTTTTTGCTCATTTTTCCCAACATCTTATTGTGAACATTTTAAAATGCACATCAACATTGATTCATTAACATTTTATTCAACTTGATGTAGTATATGTCTCCTCCATCCATTCCTCTATCTATCCATTAATCCAACTTATTTTTAGTTCATCTCAAAGTCAACTGCAGACATCAGCATACTTGCTCCTAAGTACTTCAAGGTGGTTGCCATTAACTAGAATTCAATATTTATGCATAGATTTTTGTATACAGTTTACATACATTGAAATATGTAATTTAAGTGTACATTCACTAGGTTTTACCAAATGCATGTATTAGTCTAATCCAAACCCCTATGGAAATTCAGAATACTATTACTACGCCTGAAAGTGTTCTCACTCCCTTCCCAGTCAATCCCTGGCCTCATCGTGGGTTAATTTTGCTTGTTCTAGAATTTCAAATCGATGGACATATGCCATATGTGCTCTTTTATATCTGGCTTGTTCTGCTCAGCAAAGAGCTTCTGAGGTTTATTCATATCATGTGCATGTATCAAGAATTCATTCCCTTCAAATATGCTGAGTCATATTTCGTTGAATAAATAGCTCTTTCTACTCCACTATCTCCAAGGAAACTTTTAGAATTAAACATTGAGTTTTAATAGAACAAATATTGATTGTTTTTATGATTTGTTGACATCTAAAAATTGGGAGGTTTCATGTAAAAATCTAGATTTCTGGTTCCTTTTGAGAATCTGAAAATTGAGTTACATTGGGCTCACCCTTCAACAATGGTCTAGAGCAGCCGTGGGCAAACTACAGCCCACGGGCCGAATCCGGCCTGTTTGAAATGAATAAAACTATTGAAAAAAAAGACCGTACCCTTTTATGTAATGATGTTTACTTTGAATTTATATTAGTTCACACAAACACTCCATCCATGCTTTTGTTCCGGCCCTCCGATCCAGTTTAAGAACCCATTGTGGCCCTCGATTCAAAAAGTTTGCCCACCCCTGGTCTAGAGGTCGACAAACTGCGGCTCATGAGCCACATGCGGCTCTTTGGCCCCTTGAGCGTGGCTCTTCCTAAGCCTTAGGAGTACCCTAATTAAATTAATAACAATGTACCTACCTATATAGTTTAAGTTTAAAAAATTTGGCTCTCAAAAGAAATTTTAATCGTTGTACTGTTGATATTTGGCTCTGTTGACTAATGAGTTTGCATCCTCATCACTTCCTATAGTATCCCATCTGGGCAACTTCATTCATTTATGTCACCTGCCTGTCCCAAAGGTATATGAATTTTCTGACTCCTATTAATCGTGACCAAATGTTCAAAAGTACTTGTAGAATGAATTAATGGATGAGTGAATAAGTGAACAAAGTGGGATTTTATTGGCTATATTGTGCCAGAGATCCTGCATTATAGAAATTTTTTTTGCATTATCTCATAAGTTTCATTTTCCTTCACTTCCTGCTTATGTAATATGGAGATAAAAATACTTATTTATCAGGTGCTAGTAAGATCAATGAAATAACATATTTAAGCTGCCTAGTACCATCAGAAGGGTAATTATAATCATCGATATCATCATTATTATCATCAAGTGATCCTCTAGGAGAGAGGAGGCCAACTCATTTTTTATTTTGCCTTTCTAATGTGTCAATGTGAAACCACTGAATCCTGAGGGAATATGAATGTGCTTAATAGGGGGAGGAATTTCCTGATCCTTATGCCCTATTTTCTAATGTTTCCATCTAAAGCACAAGTTTAGTCCCAAATAAAACCATCACAAAAGTCTTGTCAACTGAGTGAGTACTTTCTTTCTTGTGTTTTGAGGGACTTGGAACAAAGAGCATTGGAGACTTCCAAAGACAAAATCGATAGTCCAAAGGGTAGAGAATTACAGGAGGCAAACTCTAGACATAGACCCAAATGCATACATGATGTTAATATATGATGGCATTGTATTCATATCAGTGAGAGAAAGACAGATTGCTCCATAAATGGTAACAACTGGGACACCATCTGGAGAGACAGAAAGTGGAATCCTTATTTCACACCTTGCACTAAAACAAATTCCAGATGGACCCGAGATTCAAACATAAAATAATGGAACCATTAAGATGCTAAAAACAGCCCAGCCGGTATGGCTCAGTGGTTGGGCATTAACTTATGAACCAGGAGATCACAGTTCGATTCCTGGTCAGGGCACATGCCCAGGTTGCAGCTTGATCCCCTGTGTGGAGCATGCAGGAGGCAGCCAATCAATGATTCTCTCTCATCGTTGATGTTTCTATCTCTCTCCCCCCACCGCCTCTCCCTTGCTCTCTGATGTCAATAAAAATATATAACATTAAAATAAAATACTAAAAACAGTGGGAAATTTTTTATAAAATCTTGATGAAGAGAAAATATTAAGAACTCTCTAAAATTCAGAATTCATGTGTTGAATAAAGGTATATTTGAACAAATAAAATAAGTAGTTTCTGCCTTTAAAAATCGAACGGCCATTCCTATAAACATAGAAATTCTATAAATCAGTAAGAAAAAGACCAACAACTCAGTAGAAAAATGGATCATCTGTTCTTCATTTAAAAATATAATATGTATGGCTCTTAAACACCACATATAATATGCTTGGTAAATTAAAACTATAATAACATATTTTAATTTTTAATTGACCAAAATAAAAGTGTTTGATAACAATTGAGGTTGTGGAGAAACAGTGGTATTTAGTTAAATATCTCTCATAATTTCTGATGGGAAGATAAATTGATAAACTATGAAGGGCAATTTGGCACAAATTTCTTTAAATTAATACATGTAATCTTGCAAAATGATTACCACGATAAGTTAATTACCACACCCATCATTTCACATAATTGAAATTGCATGTGTGTCTGTGTTTGATGAAAACATTTAAGATCTATTTACTCTATTATCAATTTCAAGTATACAATACAGCATTATTAACTATAGTCACCATGCTGTACATTAGATCCCAAGGGCTCATTAATCTTTTTTTTTTTTTAATATGCAATGCTTCACGAATTTGTGCATCATCCTTGCACATGGGCCATGCTAATCTTCTCTATATTTTTCCAATTTTAGTATGTAGATATTATGTAGATAGATATAGATATAGATCAGATTTTCTTTATCCATCCACTCACCAATGGACACTTAGGTTATTTCCATGTCTTGGCTATTGTAAATAATGCTGCAATGAACATGAAGCATTTCTTCAATAGTGATTTTATTTCCTTCAGCTCTCTACCCAGAAGTGCAATTGGTGGATCATATGGTAGCTCTACTTTTAATTTTTTGAGGACCTTCCATATTGTTTTTCATAGTGACTGTACCAATTTATATTTCTACCAATGGTGGTATACACTTTTAAAATGTAATAAGCACATACTATGTGACCCAGAAATTTCACTGCAAAAAGGTATTCTACAGACATACTTGAACTTGTGTAAAAATGCTATAAATACAGATTATTTGTGATATTGCATGCAATAGTGAAACTGTGTGGATAGCCTTATAAATAAGTGATCAGTAAGATAGATTGTGGTACATCTTTAAAATGGAATAGTGCTTTCATAGCAATATAGAACAGTCTCCAAGATATATTGTTAAAATGGACCAGAAAGGGGAAGGTGAGGGTAGGTACAGAATGGTGACTGTAGTAAGCTCGTGTTGCTGCAGGGATGGGGGGGGAGAGGAATAGAGTTTAAATGCATAGAATATATCTGGGAGGACATACAAGAAACCAATACTAATAGTTCATTGCTGAGGCTGTAGATCCTTATGAATGTTATAGCATGTGCATGCATTACCTATCCCGTTTTTTAAAAATGTAAAAGGTAGTGCAATTGCCATTTCTGGGTCATTTAAACAGGGATGACTATTTTAGCAGATTTTTACAGAGAATACTCAAGCATCGGTAGAGTGGTCCAATTAGATTCCCTTATAGCTCAGGCATTCTAGGAATTTTCTAAAATACATCAGCATTAGCTCATTTCATTGCAGTGAAGATGACAAAAGTATTTTGATTAGATTTGCAGACATATAACATCCTTTGACCTTGGAGTCCCCAGTCTATTCGCACACAGCAGAAGGGAGGCCCTTGGGGTCAGCCAGCCTCCTGCCATGGCCTTTGGAACAGGCCGACCTCTCTCCACACAGCACTGGGTGACCACCCAACCCCCAGGGGCCATCACACACACAGGAACAGAGAACAGAATGTGGTTCTTAATATAAATGAAATTTGGAGCTATTTTCAAAGCTAGAACACATTCAGATCATAATGTGAAGGCATTTTTAGCTTCCAAATGGTAACTGACATTTGAGGGTTTACTATTTGCCAAGCCTTTACATGCAATATCTCTTCTAATCCTCGCCATGACTATGTGAGACAGCTCCCGTCATTATTTCCATTCACAGGTGAGGAGACTGAGGCTCTGGGATGTTGGTCCAAGGTCACAATGTGAAACTCAAAGCCAGGCAGCCTGACTCCTCTGTCCACCCTACACTGCTATTTAAATCACCAAGTCTTGCCCCTCATGCTCGGCACCCATGAATTATACTTTTTGGTACTTTCTTCTAGAACAAACGATAGTGGAGTAGACAGAATACTGACCTCCCAAACATGTCCACGTCCTAATTCCCAGAACCTGTGACTATGTTATGTCACATGGCAAAGAGGAATTAAGGTACCAGATGGAATTCAGGGGATTGTGTGAGGGGGGGATATCTTAGATTATCAAGGTGAGCCCAGTGTCATCACCAGGGTCCTTAATGTGGGCAAAGATGCAGAAGAGAAGGTCAGGGTGAGTTGATGAGAAAAACACCAATGCCCGTTGCCAGATGTGAAGATGGAGGAAGGGGCCATGAGCCAAGGGATGCAGTCGGCTTCTAGAAGGTGGAAAAGACAGAAAAACTGATTCTTCCCTAGAGCAGTGGTCGGCAAACTGCGGCTTTTGAGCCACATGCGGCTCTTTGGCCCCTTGAGTGTGGCTCTTCCACAAAATACCACGTGGGGGGGGGAAATATAGTGTGATTAAAACTTCGTGGCCCATGCACAGAAGTTGGGATTTTGTGGAAGAGCCACACTCAAGGGGCCAAAGAGCCGCATGTGGCTCACGAGCAGCAGTTTGCCGACCACTGCCCTAGAGCCTCTGGAAGGCAGCCCTGCTGGCACCTTCACTTTAGCCCACGGAGGCTTTCTCAAACTTCTGACCCTCAGAACTGCATGATAATAAATGTGTGTTTTTCTCCCATAAGTTTATGGTAATTCATTGCACCAGCCATAGAAAGCTAAACATGACTAGTGCTATAGAGAAAAACGTGGGGAACCCTCAAAAGATTATGGGTGACTTAATAGACATCTCTGTGAATAAGAGAAGTGATTACATGATAGTGACCATCTCCATAAAGAATAGACAGGAAGTTGAGCTTGGACCCATTAAGAACTTGAGGTTGGACAAAGGTCTAGATATGTGTTGTCTAACAGAACTTTCTGGAATGATGGGGATATTCTACATCTGCACTGTTCAATGTTGTGGCTACTGACCACTTGAAATGTGGTTGCTCTCTCATCTTCACCATCACCTGGCAACCAGTAGGTCCTCAAAATAAGTGTTTTAATAGAACTGAGCCTATGTAAACCTGAATAGCTTTAAATGCTTAATGTTGCATCTGTGGTTTTAGGTACTATCTGTTCTGAGAATACTTGTGCTGCTGAAAAAGACAGTTTCCTGTAGCTAAAAGAGGCTGAATCCCAAGGGGCTGGGTGATTCAAAGACACCTGGAAACGTTCCTTCTGCTCTTATACCAGTTCCACTTCAAAAGTTACCTCTCCCACAAGCCCATACAACAAAAAGTTTTATTCCACAATTACCAAAGAAGATTACTAAATACCTACTATGTGCCAGGCATTTGGCTAGGGGCTGTAGATGCAGAGAGCAATTAAAGGTTGTCTTACAGAGAGAGATTAGAGTTCATTTGGGCTGCTGTAACAAAATACCATAAACTAGGTGGCACAAGCAAGAAATATTTGTTTCTCACCATTTTGGAAACTGGAAAGTTCAAGGTCACAGTGCCAGCAGATCCAGGGTCTGGTGAGGGACTCTTCTTTGTTTGCATGAAGCTGTATTCTCACTTGTCCCACTTGTCCTCACATGGGAGAGAGAGAGGGAGCTAGGTATCTTCCTCTTCTTATAAGGGCACTAATCCCATCATGGGGGCTCCATCCTCATGACCTAATCACCTCCCAAAGGTCCCACTTCCCAATTAGGGCTTCATTAGGGGATGGAAACACAAGCTTTCAGGCCCCAGCACAGGTAACCCCAGCCCTTGGCAAACTCACAGTGTCATCCAGACGAGTAAGACCTCCCACCCCTTCTGATGAGAGAGCAGGTTAAAAGCATGCCCTAAGTTCCAACTGTGCCACTCAGCGGAAACACTGTGTCTTGGTGGGGAGGCCCCAGGCTCCCCCTTTCCAAGTCCATGTTTTCCTCGGACATAACTTCCTTCTCTGCCCGCCCTCTGAGCCAGTCACTAAGAGGAAGGACTTGTTAAGGCCACAGTTCTTTTGACCAGCTCCACAGATCACTGCCAACCTCAGCTCAGTGTTCTGATGTGCGTGGGCCCCCTCCTTCTCCCCATAAAGCCTCTGAAAGTTAATTCTGGGCAGTTAATTCTGGTCAGTCCTCAGTCATTTTCAATCTTGGAAACCTCCAAAAATAACCTCTAATGCATATTTCAGGTTAGACTTGCTTACTTTCTCTCTCTCCGAAGGCAGAGCTAATTTCCCCAGAGGGGGAAGGAAAGCACAGGCTGCTGCAGAAAAAAAGAATAATCAGCTTCAGTTTCTCCCTTGATTGCCCGTTGGAAGATACCTCCTGGCACCATGTCCCATTGCGCTGAGGCCCAGCGAGCAGGCCCTTTCTTCTCCATGGGCAACCCATTCCAACACACCCAAGACGAAGTCCGGCAGATGCCTGATTCTGGACACAGACTCCCAGCTCCTCTCAGCTTATAAGGAGTGAGGCAGGAGTCAGCAGCTGAATGCCAGTCTTGGTCCTTTCTCAATAGCCATGTGGGGGTTGGGGAGATTACTGTGGTTTAAACTCCAAAGTGGGGAAGGACCCTGGTAGATCTGGTGTCTACAGAGCTAAGGCCAAGGATGGAGTGATGCCAGGTTGGTCTTGGGCACAGTATTTGCGAAGAGATATATGATTTAGATGTACTACTACCACAGAAGCTCAACTATATTCAACCAGAATGGTAAAAAACAGAAACAGAAACATTTGAATTCTGCATCCATTGCTTCTAGCAATCTGTGAATCACCTTAGGCTGAAAGAGCTGTAAGCCCAGGCATCCTTCTGCTAATGGGGTCATCTGGGTAAGGACGGCCCTGCCAATGCCCCCAGGTCCTCTCTGCCTGAGGCCTGGAAACCTCATGCTTCTTGGATCTGAAAGTGTTGCGTGACTCTGGAACCTCAAAAACGAGATGCAGAAAAAGATGGTGGCAGAGTATCCGGCTGTGATTGTCACCTTAGAGCAGGGGTTCTCAACCTGTGGGTCGCGACCCCTTTGGCAGTCGAACGACCCTTTCACAGGGGTCGCCTAAGACCATCCTGCATATCAGATATTTACATTATGATTCATAACAGTAGCAACATTACAGTTATGAAGTAGCAACAAAAATAATGTTATGGTTGGGTCACAACATGAGGAACTGTATTTAAAGGGCCAGAAGGTTGAGAACCACTGCCTTAGAGTGTCGTAAAGACCTGGGTAGGGGGTAGTCTCTGTCTCCCTCTCCCAACTGCAGGACATCAAGAAGCTAAACTCAACATCCAGGACATTCCTAAAGAGGGGATTCGGTGACCTAGACAGGCCTGGACAGATCACGGCCTTTGAGTCAGCCTAAGCCACCACAATGCTTTTCCCTGCTCAGCCTCCTGAATTCACAAAGGCACCCTCAATTGCTGAGGCCAGATGCCAGGGTACTCAGCAAAAGCAACAGGTTAGGAGGCTGGAACTGCTTCTGTGAGGGGGCGGGGAGCTTGGCGCAGGGCTGGGTGGGTTGGGGACTTGGACATTTGAAGCCACCAGGATCTG